TGCCTAAAGACACATTGCTTAACGGACAGTTTTCCTAACGAACAATTTCCTGAAGAACAGTCTGCTTATTAGACGAAATATCCATCAAAAAACCCTAATTTAGGAAAACTGTCCGTTAGGCAATGTGTCCTTAGGCAAACTGTCGATAGGCAAAATATCTTTAGGCAGATTGACCGGGTATCATAAAATGTATATTTGAATGCTTTTCTGAAACTGCATGATGCAGCAATAAGATGCACAACTTTGATAGGATTTCAAATCGTTTAGAGTCTTAGAACTAGCATACCTGACATCCGAGTAGATATGTTCATTTTCAGCGAAATCTGTTTTGCGAAAGCTTTTGGCGACAGATTTTGAGCAACGTATGACAGCGAATGAACTGATGGGCAATGCATGGATTGTACAGTGCAGTCGTGCACTCGACATTCGGCTCTATGAAAGTGATTTCTCAAATGATTCAAAATGGCTTGATATGATGGTTTGTTCCCAGTTGTGTTAACTGTCTGAATTGTTTCACATTTCAAATCAAAATACTCAGCCGTATCGTCCAAACCGCTCCATCATGGTACAAACTTCACCAGCACTGAATTGCCAATATTTCACTCCATGTTCAACACTGGCTCACTTTTTAGTTCAAATTTAGCATTAGGTTCGATGTCAGATATTAGATATGCTCGATGGTTTAGCAGTGAAACGATAAACTTTGTTCTGCAGAAGTGAAGGAATCTCACTAAAAGTGTAGCTGTTTCAGGACATACTCAACGAGTACATCAATGGTATTTGTGCAATAAACAATGATCTTTTGATCAAACCCATGGAAGAAATCAGCAATACACTGTTGACGAGAAGGTGTGAAAAAGAGAATGACGACGAAAATCAAACCAAAAAACATAAAATTCAGAGATTAACACCTAGTTCACTTGATGAACTCGGTTCATCGCCACTCCTTCAACCTGCGTGATGGTACAAGGAGATTCCTCTGTCTTTGTCAGATCAGCAGTGATGAATCTGTCGAGTTGAATTGATTAAAACCAATGAGCACAACTGACCGACAGCAGATGTTTCGAACTGTTCTGTACTGAATATGTATTGTGAAATTCTTAACGTAGGGAAAAAAATAATTTCAATTCTTTGCTGAGTTATCGAAAAAGATAATTATCTTTCTTTTATGAAAC